TTTCAACGTGGTTATTAAGCATTAATTCGCATTTGAAACGTTATTTTGTTTTTTAAATGAACTGTTACGAATCCAGGTCCAAATTTTTTTAGCTATATTTCTTCTTTAATAATTGGAATTTTTATGGAAGTAGTATGTTTTGTCTCTTTGTGATTTGTATAATAATCCAGTTATTATACACAATTATTTAATATTATATTATTTTTAATTACTGACTCGTTCGACCGGCTTTTCATTGAATAATAATCAACTAAAATTTTAATAAGCATTTTTCTTTTGCGCAAAAAAAAAAACCGGAATCCGTGAATACCTAGGTATGTATAAATCTTGGAAAAAAATCATCTACGGGTTTGCATCAAAAGGTAGTAGTACTACTGCTCTCCGTCCGTATTCAAATGCCAGACGGCCGTATCGGGTTTTTTTTCTCTTAATTTTTTATTATTATTATAATAATTTTTTTTTGTATGTGTTTTGTATCCAACGCTCCCCACACACGATCGCACCGCATAGACGGTCCCGGGGGTCCCGAAACAATGAGAGCACGTGAAAAACGCTCTATGAAAAGGAGGAAGACGGGAGGACGTCGCGCTTAGGTACAAAAAAAGAATTATAAACGTACACCGGTGTGCGCGACTCTCCGCTGGGGCATTTTAATTTGCATATGTACGGCCGTTTGTGCCAGTATTCAAATAAGTTGACATTCCTGCTCTCAACCCTTTCTTTCGTTTCCTGTGTGTATTCCCATCCGGCGCGGCCCGTACGCATTTGCATAATATTCCATGTGCCGAAAACGCAGGGGTAGACGGATTTTTTTTGTTTTTTTTTTTTTATTTCGTACCACCACCGGTGACAGTGTCCCGAGGTGGTTTATCCGCACAGAGCCAACGCCAGTTTGTGTGTGATGCAACGTACGTTTTTACATACACATGTACAGACTGTATCTCCGAGCCGAGCACATTAACGTTTAGTCGTTATCGGTACAGCACAAGAATAATTGGCCAGGTCGTATTTGATCATAACGAGTATTAAAAAACGCGTCGCGGCGCCCCGAGGACATACTCCGGAGATTTCTTTTGTGGACATTTATTTTCACGTACGTATGCAAATTGAATAGCGTCGTGTTATACATATTGTTACCGGTGACAATATTATATTGATCATTTAAACGGCGTATATACAATTTTCCCTGAATACAATAATCAGGCAAAGAGTAAAACAACCAAATACTACCTAAACAAACTGCAGGAATGGCCAATGGCCTGTAGTTTTGTATTCCCATAAAGATTATAGTATAATGCGGTCTGCGCCCATAATTAACGAGAATTTTATTTTTAAGCTTCGTGGAATAAAATATATGTTGTACTTACATATCAAGGAAAATCACTTACTGTCAGCAAATTGGACTGGATAGATCTTATTCATAAATATAATTCGTACCTAACCCTACCTAGGGGATACATCTTACTAAAGTATAAGATACGTCTTGGTACTGCACATAGATATAATAAATAATAGGAATATTTATGAATTACGCATGGAAGGTGCACAAAAGGAGAACGACTTAGGTGTATAGGTATTATAAACGTTGCCGTAAGCCTCGGTGAAGTGTGTGTATATTATATGCGAAAACTTTTAATGACGGGTTATAATAATATCATGATATATTGCACTTATACAACTACCGCACAGATAATATGTTAAAACGGCGAAATGGAAAGAAAAAAAAGTTCCAACTGAAATCTCCTGTGCCGCGGTGCTCGTGAATGTATATGTGACATAGGTATATGTATGTGTATATATAAGTTTCCGTCTCTCATTTTTTTTCCTTTCCCCAGCAGCGCGTAATGTCATTCAAAATGAAATACAAATTCCGCGCACCGTTCTGACACTTGTATTGATTGTATTTTTCTAAGCCAAAAGAAGAACCATTGCGGAGTGGGAGAGGGGAAAGTTTTACCCTCCAAACGACCGTGTGTGTGTGTGTGTACTAGCGAAGAATAACGCGTTATACCCAAAAGGGATGATACACACATACACACATAAAGGGGTTACCGCTGTGCTGTATATACCTCCGCCTCAACCCGAGCGAAAATCGATTCCTTATACTTTTTACCCGTACACACATAAATATATTTTAGGCGCCTATCTTTCTTTTTTTTTTTTTTGCTAGAGGGAAACGGGATGGGGGTGAGCAGGATGAGAACTAATACTATTTCTTTTTTTCGTCTCCCTCCTCCCCTCTTCTTCTACTTTCTCCTTTGGTGCGTGTACTTCTATATTCTATTTTATCCGCTAAAGTCTTACGTACACACACACACGACAGTACAACATGCATTTTACAATATATTATATATATATATATATATATTTATAAGTACACATAAAGTGTACACCGGTCGCGCACATAACACACACATACTAAACACACATAACGTTTTTGTTTTCGTCCCCCGGGGAATTCGAGTATAAAATACAAAAGTATAAAATATTTTATTATTTATACTGTATTATTTTCTCGACAGTCGCGGCGCAAAAAACGAAAATTCAAATACCACATAATACCTACCTCGGGCACAAGTATGATGTATCGTGTGACGACGTTATAACATTTTATATAAATGTATATTATGCGTACATACACTTCCACCGTTCTACAGCTATGTATACATACTACATAATATGAAAAATGAAAAAGCGAACAACCGATGCGAAACGAACAATACCGTTTTTCGATAAACGCACTGTGGTATAAATTATTATTACCCATTAGTATTTGTTGTCACCCAGCAACGCGTTTTTGCGAACCCAAGAGTTTTATCGTTGTCGATCGTCATACCAAAATTATACATTTTATTATAATATACTTAAATGTACTGCAGGTATGTCACCTGTAAAATATCGACGCTGTTATACATAATGTGCGGATATGCCGTACGTAGAACGTGACATTCGGCGTACCTACAATAACAAAACGGAAGTAACCGTGTTGGCTTGATGTAGACAATTTTAAAAATTTTTTTTTATTAATTGCTCTTGTAGTTATACATTCTAATAATAATTTTTTTTGTAGAATATAATATAAAAGTCCGGTGAAAGATTTAATAAAAAGGCGTTAATTAACGTAACACCCAAAATGTTGTTCACCATTGTTGATACTAATGTCTAATATGTCTATTAAAAAATCGATGAAAACGAAATATAAACACTAAATAAAGTTGTTGGTACTTTGGGTTTTATATAAGTCATCGATTCTACATTTTTAAAATACTAATCCAGTAAATTGGCAAAAGTAGATAAGTCTTTAATTATTATTGTTGATATCTTTACAAACTACATCGGTGTATGGCCTGACTTCAAACGGTATAAGTTATAATAGCCAATCTCAAAATACTTTAAGCATTAACAGACATAATATTTTTTTAGGAAAGGTATAGCGACATTGGTATGGATTATACCTACAACAGACAATATAAATGAGTATCTATTAATGTATTAGATATACATTACTTTTTGGGTAAACAATAAAGTTTAAAATTTAAATTGTATGCCTAGATATGAATATTTTATGTAATGTTGTAACATGTTGTTTGTCTTTTAAAACAAGTTAGTGTTTTAACAAAGGGGTGGTCGGATAAGCAATAATTATGTTTACACGAGTGTTCGTAATGATTTATTTGTGAATAACTTATTACAACTACTTTCCAGTCACTATTATGTATACACTCTAAATATGTTAGTTATTTAAACCGAAAACATATTAAAAAAAAATTAAAACTATTTTATTCCAAGTATAAAATACTCTGAAATAACTATTTTGTATACATATACATATGACATATTATGTAGGCTCAATAGGTTTAATATAACATTTCAATCGACTACAATTTTTAATCATAACTAACCTATTATAGTAATAACTTAGGTAAATAAGTTAGATCTGTTAGAATACTAATAAGTAGATGTTGATCAACAAATTTATTTAAAAAATATACAAATTCGAATCTATGTAGCAACTATGGATTATATTAGGTATATACTTATAAATATGCTAAATAGACTTTTTTTTAAAGTTATAGTGCGCCGTAATTTTAAGATGAAGAACGGGTTAATATTTTAGTTTTTTTTCAATTTTGTAGGGGAATGGGTCAACCTTTTCAACTTTTTTTCATGTCAATAAAGTACAACTGGACAGCCTTTTGAAATAAAAATGTATTTATGTTCAAGAATATTTCTAAGCAAAATAATGTATACAAATGTTTCCAGTATTATATGTACATTTTAAAAAGTGAACTTAACATAATAAAATAATTATGTCATTGTCACTAAAACGTCATCATGTTTTGATTTAAGTATAGGTGTTCTTTAATCAATTAACTATCAAAAAATAAAAACAGTACTAATTACTGAACTAATAAAACACATTTAAGGTAAGCTTTAAATTAAGATTTTGCAAAAAATGCCTACAACTAATTTTTTAATAAATAATACCTGTTGAATTGAGATTAATTATTAAATAACAAAATACCTTTACAGGATATAACATTAATTAATACATACAAACATTTTATTTAATAATAAGGGTTATAAAATAAAATTGTTTTCACAAAACTAAGCTTAAGTTTAATTACTGCAATATTTACTTAATACTAAATTATAAATCAATACGTAGTAAATAGTATAATGTCACAATAATTAGTATAAATTCTAGAAAACTACACTTTCATTTCATATTATAATACATTCAGTTTTTTTTTTAAGTATAGCAAGCACCAATAAGTACATATTTATCGAAAATTATTTTTAAATATATATATAAATTATAAATGTTTAAGTTGTTTACAAGAAGAAAAGAAAGTTTAAAATTGTCTACATAATAAAAAATACTAATAAACATACACATTTTGATTAAATAAATTTTACATTAATGTAGGAAACTATAGCAATACCATATCATTTAATTTTTAGCATCTAAAAATAAATATTAGAAAGTATATTATATGACATGCAATACATTTTAATTTGCTATCATAGTCAATTTGAAGTATAAAGGTAGAAAAGACATAAATACCTATTTTTCATAGTAATATTTATATTGTATGTTAAATTATATAACTATATGATTATCAGTTGATTATTTAATTTTATTATAAATGTTTGAACAATTTTTTTTTCCATTAGATTTTTAATTTTCATCTGGTACCATTAGTCCCATACTTAATTTTGGCTGCATCGTGTTGAGGAAGCTTTGCTCGTCTCCGCGAATACTCAATTCAACTTCGTCAATCTTTTTGTGCCCCATCATTGGGGCTCGCTCCCACTTAGAACCGTTACAATTTTTACACGAAATGAGTGGAAACATAGTCAGGCAAATGGTCCTAGTATTGCAATCACCACATTTAAAAAATCGTTTTGTTCCATCAGTAACACGTAAAGCGTGCTTTTCAGCCTTACACCATTCAGATGCTGAAAACCAAGTATACTTGCACACCAAACAACGTACGGCCTTGCACGGCATTTTATAAGTGTTCATCATTTTTTGTTCCAATCTCTCTTTTTTGTCCATTTGATCAAAGTATTTGTCCTCTGCTTCTTGCTGAGCAATATCAATCAGTTCTTGGTTTTGTGAAGTGGCATTCATCAATTCTAAAAATCTCGATGAAACTTTTTCTTCTTTAGCAATTTTTTTCATATTACCCAAGTCCAAATCTATATCTTCGGGTAATTTTCTCTTCTTTCCTTCTTTATTTTTTTCAAATAAATTAGGATTTTCTTTTTCAATTGGCCCTTTGGATTTAATATAGTTCAGAGCATTAGCTTTGGCACACCTTTTACGTTGAGTTCCAAAATTATTTGGACTCGCAATGCTGCCTAACAAGTCTTTAAACGTGCACATTTGCGGCGATTCCTTGTGATCTAAATTCTTTTTACCCGATCCAGTTAATTCATTTGATTTCATACTTTCAGCAAATCCTTTAATAGCTGAAGCTCGGCGACTAGCTACAGTTGTATGAGATGGTGTACTTGAAGCGGCTGCTGGGGCGAGTGAAGCTGATTTACTTTTAGGAGTCAACTTCTGAAGTTTAGCTTGATCTTCTCTCATCAGCTTTGAATGATTGGCTTTAGTCGAAGCAAAGCTTCGACCACCATAAAACACTTCGTTTTTACCCAAAACCTAAAAAAAAAATTATTTAAATTGATTTATGTAAAATTTAGATTTCATTTTAAATCTACCTTAAGTAAAAATAATCACCTAATATAATGATTGCTTTCGAGTCAACTGGGTAATAGTAAGCGTATGGGAAAATGTAAATTATACTATTTGAATAAAGTAATCTAATTTTTCCAGTTTTAACTCTTAACTTTTAACTATAAGATATTACATACTACATAATTGAATATAATACAAATACTGTTTGTTCTTTCTACAAAAAAAAATTGCATTTACATTTGCCCCGTTCGTTTACAATTACCCCCATTATGACTATAATGATTAATATCATCGTCATCAAGCTTAACGGGGCCTTTAAGGCCCAACAATGAGATGATGGTTTTGTAGACGGATTTGCTGTACGGGACGGGTCGTCAGCCTGTCCCAGAGAGAGGATGGCGGTTCCTTTTCACCGGACGATTGCTCGCCCGACAAATGGAGCGCCCGTGACCGAGTGTCAAACCATCGACAGCGAGCGCTAACACACTGCTGCCTTACCCACTCAGCCACTCCTCCTCCTATTAATATATTAAAACAAAATCCTTCACATATTAACTGTTAAAGGTTTATATATTATAATAATTGAACTATAGTTATTGGTGTTAGTAATAAAATAAACTAACTTTATCCCGCAAACTATGAGCAGCAGTAGGTCTAGAGTTGCCAAGATTTGCTCTTTGGCCACAGTGTTTTATGTACTCTCTTTTAACATGGTACGTACAAACATCACAGTCGTTAACGTTGACAAACATTTCACATTTTTCACCATTTTTCTTAACTCCTTTACAGGTGCCATAATCTTTGGACCTGCCCCACACCATTACCTGGTCACCACTATTGATGGACAATGTTATACCATCTTTACGGTCTTTGCTATCCAATTCTAAAAACAAAAAATTAAGTTTTTAAAATTAATACATTAATATAAAAATGTATTTGAATAATTTTACCTTTGGGATTTAGTATTCCTACAACTGATCCCACATCGGTTTTCCATAAATCAGCGTGTGAACGCCCAAACAAAAATATTGTAACAGTATTTAACCCTGGCTTCAGATCGCTTATTTTCCATATGCTAAAAGTAGAACCTACACAACAGTACGGATATATGGTTAAAAATATAATAATCATTGATATGCTTTTGGATTTAATATTATATACCTTTTTGAGAAGTTTTGGGTAACGATTTGTTGACTAATACGCCTGCAACGACCCAGTCGGAAGTGATATCGCCCGAAGTGACATGCATTTTTACTCTGCTCACAGGCACTGGTGTTTTAGTGCTCATGTTATCTTTTATTGTTTGCGACGAAAGCAATGGATTTATCATACGCAAGCCGAACACGGGATCGGCGGCTGGGTCAAAACCAAATTTGGGGGTTTTCGGATTGGTTGATTTCTTAGGCACATCGCTTCTGGACACTTCTTCATCCAAATCGACTACTTTGGATTTCATTGACTTGAAAAAGTCACTAAAGGTACTTTCAGGTTTTTCGGCGATTTTGGCCATCGGCTCTGATGTGGGCGACTCTTTTTGTACTTTAAAAATCAAATTGCACGTTGATTTGACGTTATACATAATATTAAGTAGTGTACTTACTGTTGTCGCCTTCGCAGTCATCTGGTCTTTTAGGATCGCTTTCCTGGACGTCGGGTATTTCGGTTTCGAGAAACAGGGCCAAGGCATTAAAGTTTTCGTCGTTACTGTCCATTTCGTTTGAATTTGGAAAGCAATTTTAAAGTAAAATTTGGCACAAAGCAACTTACCAAGTACCATAGGTACCACGGTTTAGACTGATTAACAATCCATTGAACGACGAAAATGATCGCTTTGCTTTTATGATTTGCCAGACGTGGTTTTGGCGGCAAAATAAACGTCGCGATTGATAACAGCAATATAATTGTAAACCACAACGCTATCTAGTGGACAAATGGCGTGTTTGATTATTTGTTTCTGAGTTTAGTCCGAATAAGTGGTCGTCTCGGCGGCCGAGGGCTGACGATCAACGGGCGACCGCCATTTCTTTCTTGTTCTGAGTTTAGGCTCCTTACCGGTACGAGTGCCGATGGCTTTATCGCTATTGACAGAACTCCGAATGAAACACTAAACAAAGAAATAACGTCATCAAAATAATTTATTTTATATTTGACACTAGGAAATTAGATTCGAAAAAAAACCTTTCGAACTTTAATTTATTTTCAGTTTGATTTCTACCAGCTTAAGGACATAATTTTTAACGTATAATAATTTTATGTTGTATATTGTCCGAGTTATAGCCAATTTGACGGTCAAAATTACTTTACTGGAAAAACGACGATACCAAGTACATTATTAAATAACCGAACTTGGGACAGTTTATACTTAGTTCGAATGTTTCTTTTAGCTTGCATAGACTTCCGTTCAAATACCAAAAAGAAAAACATTTGAGATTAAAAACACAAATGTAATGTTCAAGTTCTTAATACCTAGAGCATGATGCAAGATTAATATGTCTCGTATAGTTAAAAATATTATATAATTTTTATAATCAAAAAACTACTGAGTATCAGCATTCAGCATCAATGGTATTAGTTGAATCGCTTCATGCAAAATGGGCCTAAGTCAACATTTAATCCAAAACGTGATTATTACTAATTCGTTATAATTTCACTTAGAAGCATCGATTCATGTTAAAACGGCTTTAGTCCCATTACTATCAAATTAGATACAAAATTATTGATTTTTGTAAAAAGGGTCTAAGTCTACTATACTTAAATACTAATAATCCTGACTGCATTTGAAAATAATAATATTGTTTTACAGAATATAATTTTACTGTTTAATATCTATTAACTTTGATAAATCCCTTATATGTTTATGCATTTTGAAACATATCAAACGTTTTTTCTATTTTTCCAAAAGTTTAAAGTTAAGGATCAAGGCCCTTTTTGCATGAAGCGATTCAGTTATACAATAATGTATTTTATTTTTCATGTATGTACAATTTTGATAAAAACATAAGGGAATATAATATTTCTTTAGAAACGTTTAAATGTAAAAACTGTATTAGCCGACTTATCCGTAAAGTAGGCACCTAGTAGTGTTAATTTAAAATTGAAATATTATTTTATTCCACACAGCAAATATCTAAGAGCAGAACTACAAAATTCATATAATCTAGCATTTAATACTGTTATGATTGTCCAAATGCATCACTTCAGATTTTTTCAACAATTAATAGGTTTTTAACAATTATCACAAAGCCCATTATAATATCTATTTATTTTACTTTTTATTTTTGTGTTTGGACACCCGATATCTCTAAAACCTCTTAACAGATTTATTCATGTAGTTAATCTATAGACCAGAAATCGTACCCGAAAGGTAATTATTATTATTGGGTCAAAAATGTGAAAATTTCACTAATTTTCTTACAAAATTACAACAAAAATAAACAAACAAAAAAAGTATTAGTCGCTCTTATGTCAAAGAGAAAGAAATATTTTCTCAAACGCCCGGAAACTTTTTCTTTATAATTTTTTTTTTGTAAAAATGAAAATAAAATCTAGATAATTGTAGTCACTAGTCTGTACCTGTATATTAATATATGTTTAATAATAATTATTTAAAAATCTACAATGAAAATTATTTTTCTATTGATGAAAAAAAATAAGACTGCAATGCTACTTTAAGGGTTATAAGGTCGTGTGCGTTAATTGTAAACGAATAGGAGAAAATCTTTAAATGCAATCGGCTTATATCTACCTAGTTTTATACAACAATTTGTGTTTTTATCGTATAATATTAAATTAATTTTTTAGCTAATAGGCTTTTCGTTAAAAGGAACATTTTCCAATTATTTTATTTAAAAAAATCGCATTTATATTAGTCTTAAATGTCTATAAATAGTAAATACCCTGCTACGGTGCTAGACATTTTTTAAAATTATTTTTGTAACAAACACAACTCTCATTTTAAACAATTGCATTGATAAGTTATAATACGAGCACTTTTTAATGATAAATAATTAAAACATTCAATAAAGGTATAGTACTATTTATTTATATGATTATTATTAACGTATTTATTAAAAACTTGAGAAGTCATTAAGAATAATAATGACTTATGATTTTTTTTTAAATTGATTTCCAACTAAACAAAACGTTAAATAGGCAATTCTTAATTTAATAGGCACCTATTTTATGTTGTAGTATGTACATATAATATAACAATAATATGTTATTGTTTCTAGCTTTGGCTTAAAAAAAAATAACATTTATGTTAAAGAAATGGCCACCAAGAAAACTCGGTAGGTTTGCAGTCCTGTAAAATGACATATTATTAAAAAAATAATAATAACGCACCACCGTTTTTTGGTATAAAAAGTACAACGGGTAAACATTATGAACGCAGATAATTTTAATAAATGTATTTAAATAAGTTCAGAAGAACTAAGAGGGAAAGTTTTTATTTTTTATGTAATTATGGTTACTTGTAATTTTTTTTTAACTTAAGTTAGTTGTTTATTTAAAGCAAATCGGCCAAGTCGTTTCGTTTAATAATGTCGCCATTATCCCATTACCATAACAAAATGGAAACATTAAATTGTTGAGCTTAATTTAATCTCATTCTGTTTTTAAACTTTTCACAATTGGATAATGAAACAATACTTCATCTTTTTTATATGACTGTAATTTTCTACAACAATATTCCGCAACCATTAAAAAGTAAAGTAATATTCCAAAATATTTTATCGATTAGGTTTACATTTTTTTTTGTATTATTTTTATTTTTTGTTAATATCTAATGATACTTAAAAATAATTTTAACTTGTAGAACTTGAGGTTATTGGGTATAAGTTTTGTTAACATTGTTTTTGAGGTCATTTGGAGTAAAAATAGGTTAGCCTTACAAATGCATGACACGGTACGTGTTACGTGTATCTTATTTCTGTATTAATTTATTCCAATGCTAAAAAAATGTATAATTTAGGCTTGTACAACGAGTGTATTAAACCAGTTTCTAGTATGAAATGCCACGCGATATAAGCCGTGTGTTTGATAATAGGTGAAAGAACACATATATATTTTTTATTTAATTTTTTTCAATTTTAATTTATTGTTCCATCGTTTCTCTTGTTTTAAAACCCTTGAGGTTTTTTTAGGCACCTATTTTTTTATACTTACTATTTTGCATATCATAAACCGTCAAGCATTGTTTCCCCCCTGAGGCGGACCTTATAGAGTATTGTTATTATTATTTTTTCATTTCTGTTTAAGACAGACAACATATTATACTGCGATGTAAACCTAAAGTGCTGCGCGTACCAGCTATTTTACATATATAGAGTGAAAAAAAACGGTACACGGTATACCTACGTTTTTTTTTCTACTATACCAAACAGGACGAGAACACGTTGCTAGTACTCTGCTGTTCGTATTGGTGTTCACCATAAAAAAAAACTCATCTCATTTAGTCTGATTTACATTTGTCTGCATTGTTTATTATAATTTTTTTCACACAACGCGTCATTCATTTTTGCATCAGTTCAAATGGCTAAAAAATAGTTTCAGCTGCTGTTTGGATTTTTTTTATCTTTTAACGTTAGGATAATAAGATATTTTTATTTCATAATTTTGAAGCAACAAAACAATTAATGAGTTGAGGTTTTTCATCTATTTATAATAAAAATTATATTAATAATATACAGCCAATTATTTGTTTATTTTATATAGGTATATTTGACTTGGCGCAAAAAAAGGTTAACGTCACGTTTTGAAATTTTAACCGATAACTTTTATAGTTTGTATTTTACATAATGAAGCTTTCTATGTATTCTGTCATTTTTTAGTACTGATTATTGTTTTAGATTTGAATAACTAATAATTAATATATTAGCTAAGTCAAGTTAAATTTTATAAAAAATTAAAATATTGTAACAGTATGCCCCATTGCTCCTTAAATAAATATTTCATAGTTTGGTATAAATTTTAAACAAAAGGGTTTACCAACTTGTTATTCATTTTTGCTTATTTAAATAATAAGTTCTAATCAATTAAAACAATATTAAATTACATATAATGTTAAATTTTTTCTTCGTTAATTTTCAGTCATAACTGTATGTAAAAAAATAGGTTTGAAATTAATAGGCTAATGAATGTTTTACTTTTGTTAGGGAAGAATGTAAAATATATTATTAATATTAGGAATTGAGAATATTCCTCTATAAAAACCCCTGTGTGAAGTCAAAGCCCCTCTCGATACAGTCTTACGTTAGTATTATGTTTTCATTTTAGTCCTTATAACATTTTAAACAAGGTGGTCATGTATACAAGTTTTTTCATTGGGTTTTCAGAAAACTATATTATAGTGTGTTCGGTGAACACATAATATATATATTTATTTACAATTATATTGTGAGAGCCCGTGGAAACCTTATTAAAATTAATGAGACCCGTAACTAAATAAACAGTACACAAAACAAACTCTTTGAAAATCATTTTTCTTAGAAATGTATAGGGATACCTTAACCGCAGTTACCACACAATAATAACTGTGTAGCATAACGGTTTTCAAATACAAGACATAAAATTAATAATAACATTTAATTTGTATTGTGACTGTTTAAACTTCGATATTCAAACCAGATAAAAATAAAATATAGATTTTTTACAACTTATTTCATCCTATTACATAAATTTCACAAAAAACAAAATATATAAAAACGTATAAGTACGCTCGTAGCACTTAAAGGTTAGGTTGGTTAATTAAATAATCAACAACAAAACACATAAATTGTTAAATTGTTTTCTATAGATTGAAACACGTCTGGTCGAAGTATGTTATGAGTCACCGCTTCAAATCCTTAAATTCTCAATTTATGAGTAATATATATTTTGTTTTCTTCATTGTCCCTTCTACAAATTATGAATAAGCACAGCATATTGGCATTGGTTTTAGATACGCTAATAACACTGTACAACGTGATTTTGGAACATTATTATTGGATATCGTTTTCACTGAATCTGAATCTGGCCTCAAAATTTCTCTAACACCTTAATTCATTTTTTCAATATCTTTATAGGTTGTAATCAACTTAGAAAACGAACATAAGAAATTCCAAA